ACATATATATATGATTCTATTATTTCTACTTAGTAGTAATAAACACGGAGATGACAGCGTAGTGGTAGTGATACCATTCATCACGAGAACAGAGCTGGTTCCCGGGGAGAAACCTACAAAAAGAAGCAAATAAATGAATCTCAACATTCAATTTAAATTTAATGATGAATGCGAAGAGAAAAATCGAATGAAAGAAGTATTAGAATTTCGCAGAGTAGATGTGAAAAGCAGAAAACAAAAGATATCAATTTTTTAGCATTTCAATGAAACAGCACAAAAACTAAAATGTGAATCAGTCACAAGGAGAAAATCGCAACAAGAAGCAGATAAACAAAGTTCAACATTTACTTTCATCTGGAGAGCGGTCTCACCATAATCACATCATTAGCAGTCAAAATAATTCATTGATAAAAAAAGGATAAAAGGCAAAGGATAAAGCTCTCGATGTTGATCAATTCTTCATTAAGCATCGTTTGGAGGTCATTGAATGCATATCTGGCCTTTACAGTTACTCGCGTTGACCCAACGATCTACGGAGTCAGTGTTGCTATCCTCCCAGACAAGTCTGCTACCAATTTGTCGACCCCGGAGGGATGGAAGAATTGGTGACCCATAGGTGCAGGTATCGATTGTACTTGTGTTGCAGGGCGCCTCATACCACTGCGCCACAAGCGCCTTAATTTCGTCGAAATAAAAACAGAAACAAAAAAAAATGATCAACGAGAATGTTTTCTGCTTACTTTCCTTTCATTGCCGGTGCTACATTGTTACGATGTTAAATTTCTGCCTGTTTCATGGCCACTTTCTCCCTTAATTGACTTTTTGAATTGGAAATACCAAATTCCACTACAGATTAAATTTTTTGATAAGTTGATTCTGACGTTGAATGATTAATCAGCATACTACGTTCCTATAACGACCTCAGGACTTGTTCGATGTTTGGAGGTGCTCCGCAATGCATAACTTGTCTACGCCTCGACGTCGCTAGCTTACCTGAGTTATCAAATCGGTCGAGCTTATCTTGAAAGCCAAAATAGAACTGACTTTACACATGATTAAATGGTCGGAGACAGCCGTGTAAATCAAATACCCTTTCAATCAGTTCCGCGATGCAATGAAATGGATCGAATGCATAGAGCATTCCTAGTGATGAACACTGAACCCAGTCTCCGCTACGCTTTATTTGTATACTTCTTTCGATATTTGGTTTATTAGAAGAAAAATGAACGACGTCTGATATTTATCACGGATCATTCATTATTTAGTGTACAACTTCCAAACTTTTCCAATCTACTTGTTTTCATGAAGCAACTACAACACCGCTACATGGTTTCTTGCCACACTTAGCTAGCTTTGTATATGTATCTATGTATTCATGTGCGTATCTGCTTGAATTTTTGCGTGCTGCATAATAAAAGCATTTATTTTCATTAACTTTTATTTATTTTTAGCATTTATTTTACTTAAGGGGCGCGTGTGGCGCAGTGGTTGGAGGCGCCACTGCGACATACACGTGGAATCGCCCATGGCCCACTAAGCCTTCCATCCCTCTGGAGTCGTAAATTGGTACCACACTTCTCTAGGAGGATGGCAGCACTGGCTCGATACATCGGTAGGCCACCGCGAGTCATTGTAAAGGCCGGATATGCATTTAATTACCTCCAACGATACTTAATGAAATCTAATGCACGTTGCATCCCTCAGGGATTGATCAACGGCGAGAGCTTTATCCTTTATTTTATTTATTTTTATTCGACATGACCCGTCAACACATCTGCGCAAATCCTAGCACTTTTCATCGATTTGTCTTCCTCGCATCCATCATCCTCGAGGGTCGTCGAATATTTCGCCTGTTGTTTCGGCTGTTGTTCGAGGATTTCGCCTTCTTTATGGATATCGCAGAATTCTGGTCTAGTTGATTCCCGTTACAATCTTGGAGAGAGTAGGACTAAGGCTTCCCCAAATGGAGAAGAACGTTGAGGAGGGAGTGGAGCCAGCACCTTGCTTCCTGCATCACTGCACTACTCCCCTTTCCACGTATAATACATATCACATTCCATTGTACTACATATATATGTTTAAGCCCATACATGAACAAATAATAAAACCAGGCACAAACGTGCTGGATATCGACAATGACGGCTCCAGTATGACTGGTTCATCCCATAATAATTGATGACACGAATACGGTAGACCTTAAAAGCAGTTGTTCAATCAGCAAACAGAATTCGTTCGCTCGATGCTGATGAAGCATCGTATTCATTAAGTCTATGAATCATTACACAGCGAGATTTTTCGTCAGCGTCCAATAATCATTTGCTTACGACCATCCAGCAGATTACTTATATATTACTAACTTCCAAATTTACTCTAGAAACTCATTATTTTCTTCATTATGCTGCTCCAGTTAACCATGAGGTTATCGCTCAACTACAGCGCGGATTTCTCATCGCTAAGCAGAGATCGTCAGCTTTGAATCTCTTGCCTTGTGATGCCGGAAAAGTAGAAAAGAAAACTGAATAGAGTAGTCAAAAGACTACTCAAAATATGGATCTTTGTTTTGATTTATCGGGTATTCGGGTGTTTCTGACTACTGTATGATATTCCAATACCACTTTACAAATCACAACCACTTAAACGTCGATTGCACCTAGGTTTGTAAGGCTTTCATATGATCTTTTTTTTGGTTCTTTTTCTAAAATTACACTTTCCCGTTTATTTTTATACCGTAGCCATCCACACCTTTATATTCTTTTCGTCACGATATGTTCTTCAGTTCGAAAAGTTGTTAACCTTGGTGTAATTCACGCTCTTTCACTGGTTCTCTCGCTCCTTCCCAGCCGCTTTTTCGTTCAGGGTCAGTTAACCACTTCATCACTCAAAAAGATATTGGTACTAGTTCGTTTTTGTTTTCTTACACTTCAACAGTGACTTCAATTATTTATGATAATATAGAAAGACGTCTGTTTCGTTAAAACTGGTCAAAAAACACGGAAGAGAACCTAAACCTAACCAACAACCGAGCAACGTCAGTAGTTTGATCTTGTTTGAAGAAAACGTTTTATCTTTCAGGACGAGCGATGACCTTCAATGTTTCCAATTAGATATGTCACCTTTCAATGAAAGTACACCTGGTCATCTCGCCTCCGTTCGATGTTTCCGCCTGATAATGTCAAGGCACTTCAATAGTTGTCAATAAAAAAATTCTTCTCTATTTGCCAATGTGAATAACAACTACGTCAGAGCTTTTTTAACGGTTTCTCTGTACTCTGATCTGTGGCCGACTACAACCCTAAAAGCAATGTCACAGCTGTCAAAGCATTAACGCCGAACAAGCAATGACGACATTCATTCCATTGTCCATTCTATTGCCAGTTCGACACATTCCTTTAAACACATTCTGAATGTCAAACTACAGATTCACCATACATAAAATATAGCAAATCATAATACCTAAGGGTATCAATCTCTTATGAATGCGCCATGCAGTCGACTCCGTTCGTATCACCATAGAGGCGACTGAGTCCGCAACTGGCCTGTGCAGTAGTTTTTTTGGATTTACCGATACATTGAACAGCTGTCCTTATAATTCCAGTAGAGGTCTGGACCAATTTTCTGATCACAAGCTTAGGTGCTCAGGGGTCCTAGATTGTGGCTGCGTAGCAAAACACCTCTAACCACTGCGCAGCACTCTTATCATGGGATAGAACGTGAATTTCAGACATTAGGAATACGTATTGCCATGACGAATAATTCTGGTTCGATGAATGCATAGGCAAACAAGCGTATCATCTTATTGTTAACTCACGATTCCGATGTTTCTAAGCGATTGTCTGGAAGGTGTTCCACACGACACCGGTTCGTTGGAGACGACCATGTCAGCACTCATTATCATCTAATTGATGCAGATGTTCGACATATCCTGTGTGTGCTTGTGCGCTAATTGTGCTTAATGGCGTAGATTGTCAGCAGCAATTCCGTAGATGCTCATCGATTTGAAAGACTGCACTCCATTCTACGACTTCCTTGCGACTTTCCTAATCTCTGGAATCAACAATGAAATGTTTCTTCGTTCGAAATTCGTTCAAAATCGTTCAATTCAAAAATACTGATATGGGCAGCCAAGGTGAATAATCTCTGTAACAATAAGGTAACTTTTTTCCCGATTTTCCATATTTCTTTTCCAAAGTTAAAGGATTATAAATTAAGTCACGGATTATTTCGTCAATATGTGAAGTGTGGCCAAACACAAAAAAAGTCAACTGGAGCAAATGATAGGGAGAAAAGTGGAAGCTACAAAATAATATCTAACTTTCGTTCTTAATCTAAACTTTAGTTAAAACCACATATTCTTCTACTCAGACTACTGCACTTTAGTGAAGTTGTAGGTTTAGTTGTAGTTGTAGCTGTAGGTTCTAGGTTTTTTGAGATAGGTTAATCTTTGTGAAAAATATAAACCAAAATTTAAATTCCGGCGACAACATTTCCAATTTACTCCACAACCTCTTAGAATGATCAGTTCAAGTTGTTCAGTTACAATGATCTCATTGTATGCAAATTCATTCAAGCGCGCCTAGTTCATTTAGGGGTACCAAGCAATACACAAGGGGATTTTTTGGTTTGATCACATGCCCCGGACAAGCCAAGCTTCCTTTACAAGTTTACATTGCAACCGTACTGATCCAGGAGACAGATCTGATGCAGCCGTCGGCCATCACAACTCATTGCCTAAGCCAGAACCACATTTCCGCCTTTACAAATGGTGTCGAATGCATGAAAAATCTTTGGATGTAGGTCAACACCAAGTCTTGTTGTGCTCCGCTTATTTCATACGTCAAGGTTTCACCATATTAGTAAAAATTTGCCTTTTATTCCCTCATTCAATATGTCTACTTCACTTTTTCTTACCTGCACTTCTCATTTCTTAACCCTTTTCGCGTTCCAGATTTTTTTCTTCATCCTCGTATCTCACATGAAATTGATTTTTCGGCTTAACACTCTCAGCCGGTTTCTTTTACGCATATTTTCACGACGACAGCCAGTTTTCCTCCGATCGACCGACAGGCCAGCATCCTCCTCCTTCTTGTAAACAGGCAAACACAGTCGCCGGCTTCGTCGTCGTCGTCGTTGTCGTCAATCCTCACTAGCCAATCCTTTTTGTCGGCAATAGAAAACTCGTCGCTTGGGCAGGTGTTAAGATAAACTGAACAAACGGTCATTGATGTCCTCGTCGCAAATTATCAAATGGTCATCCTCTTGCTGTGCTCCGTTTAGTTCATTCGTCAATGTTGTACCACATTAGTAGAAGTTCAATGGGAAGAAGTAAAATCGAAGCTTCGTTAGCCTTCTTCTGGCATCAGTAACGAAATTCACGCAGTTCATTTAAAAACGTACTCGTTTCGAATGCTTTGAACTCTTCGATTTCTCCAAAACTTTCCCTAATTTCTCCACGAAACTCATTCTTTTTTCATTAATACTCTTGAGACTAAGATCATTGCAGCACTGTTTAGTTTTCAAGTCTTCAGTCTAGGCTTTTGATAAGCGCGCTGATTGAGATTGTAGAAAATATTGCGAAGAGACGTTAAGGCTAATTCCGTGTTAATATTGCTTTCATGATTTGAGTGAAAACTCCACATTTTCCATTCCATTCTGATTTTTCAACTCCTATCTTCTGAGTGCAGTGAAATCTATGTTCATTTTTAGCTATGAATAATTGTTTGCGAAGAAATCGCGTTTTCTTGTGGCAAAGAATATTAAGGATAAATCAGTGTTGATCAACACGTCAGAGATACTGTATGTAATCGACTCCACTCGCATACGGTAAGCGTAGTTCAGTGCGCAATTAACCTATACATTCATTTAAGGTTGCCTATCAGTCTGCAAAGTCAGTGTATTTAACCTCTATTGGAAGCCTAGAACTAACTTGCCTACCCGGGAGGTTTGAAGAAATAATGAGTTTTGATTGTCCGAGGCAACTGATCACGCCAACGACCATGTATGTGTGTTGTAAAGCATCACCTCTAACCATTACACTACACTCTACCCTGCATAACCAGTAGTGGAAAGGATTTTTGAAGATAAACCGAGACACCTTATCCGACATAAGATAGTACATGTGTAATTCGTACAAAAAATCTCCTTGTCAAGGAGGTTATGTTTGTTCTTCACTCGTATCATCAAGGCTCTGAGGAGGATAAAATCGCTGAAACATCAGCCATCGACCAGCAACAACAACAGCAACAACAACGAGAACAGTGGTAACCTATACCAACCTCACATTAGCTTAACAAAATCAGTTTATAAGAACGTATAAATGAAGTTATATTTGTTGTAATCTACAGCTGAGATATCGAGCATACATCTGGGGGAAACCACCGAAGAAACAAGCATCTTCAGTAAGACGGTTAAGGTCTTCCGCGCAGCTGCAGCCATTTTCATTTACTGGACATCGTAGAAAACAAGTTTTCCATCCTGTGAAAAGAACTCAGTATTTGCGAATGCACATAAAGAAACCGAAAACGGATTTACTGCTATCCAAAGGTGTAAAGAGGTGACAAAACGCATTAAAGAAAAAAAGTGCAAAGTGAAGATTCGAACAGAAATTCCAAGTTACCCGTACCCCTGATAGTTCTGTCAGTTGTCAAGTGAACTGAACAGGCAGCTGTAGTTCTCAATTCGTCCTTGGCGGGCGCTAGATTTACCTAGCGAGCTTCCCTTAATGGAGAAATACTTAGCATCGCGCTGTTCCTACGATAGACTCCTCATTTTTGTGGTTTTTTCTTTACGACGAAGGCCCATTGCTGCTCTTGTGACGCAACACCTAGACCTGCACAAACCCAGTTTAGAAGTTCCTTGCCTGAAAGGCGTCTGTGATTGCGTTTAAATTTTTGCGTTCTTTCATGTCTTTTTTAGAACAGGTGAAATAAGCTGGTTTCCTGCTGGTTTTTTGTTTATTCTTTTTTCTCTAATGGAAAGCTTCTTCAGCAATTGCCTCTTAAAGAGTCGATCGATACGTATGATCTCTGTAGTGTTTTCAGTTTTGTTCCAGATTTTCTCCAATGTAACGTTCTTGACCTAAAATTAATGTCTATTATCGAACTGGAATGAACGGAAATGGGCGCGTGAGTCCATCGCATCCGTCTGCCGCCTTTCGTTTTGTCGCACCTATACCTTTACCTCGTCCCTGTAATTGTTCACGTTCTAAATTCTACCTCTGTTCCCACAATCTCAAATCTGACCCCATTACTGATCGAACGCTTTCGTAAGCCCTTACGCAAGAAAGAACGAGACATTCGGTTTTTCTTTGAAGAAAAATTGTTCTATGTTCACTTTTCTTCCTTCTTCATCGCTCAATCAATGAAAATTCATTTCTCTTTCATTTTAGGCACTTTCTCTATTCATTTTTCAGCGGTTTTGTACTTTCTAAAGAGAAAGAAACGGAATGAGAAATGCTGAAGTTATATATCATAACGACAGAAGCCAACAAATCATATCTAGCAAGTTTGCAGGATTGGCAAGTAGAATTTTCGTCAGTGAACTGGTGTTGGAGAGGAGGTGGTGATCGGGTCGAATCAGATTTATCTGCGACGATCCTGTCTTCCAAATCCACAAAACCATTTCATATTCTGCGTTAAAGATCCGGGAACGCCATAGCAAAATTATTGCAGAATTTAGCGAGGATCAACTCGACCGGCATTCAACAACATTCAAAAAAAACGGACCAAATCCTGGAGCAATAGCCGAATCCACATTCCGGTTAGAAAAATGATGGCCTTTAAATTTTCACACAGTCTTGATATCCTTATAGAATTTGTTGACTAAACAAAAAACTAAAAATCAGTAAGTAACGTTGCCTTGTTTATGTGAAAGTAGTATAACGAATGTTATTGATTGCACACTTGGCCTACACAATCGTTTACGTGGCCTGCCAGTACAAAAAGTACCTGATTTTATTCTCTCCTACAACTTTGGCATCAATTAGTCGATGCCGAAGGGACATCGACCTTGGTTAGGTTTGAACGTGGCATGTGATCGAACCGACCAATGGTGACGTATACATATCAAACCACTGTGCTGCACTCTACCATGTAGTAGTTCATGACTACTACTAATTGCTTTTAGTTTGAAAGCATGCCATTTCCTAACAAGGAACGATGTGTTCTTATTGCGGTGTATTAAAAACAATTTGTCTAAGTCAAAAAAACATTCTCTGTGTTATAATCGTCGATCTCCGTCAACGATACGACGCTAAGATTGGTGGTTACTACGAAAGACATTTAGGCTGAACGACCTGTTAACCTACAACGACTCCAAGGCGCTCAAGAATTGAGTAGTTTTCGCATTAGGAACCAAATAATTCTTTGTTACTGCATTAATGTAGAAAGGTAATAGACTCTATTCATCTTTATCGATAATTTTGCACGCGAAATACTTCCTGTGTGTATTTTTGCATATTTATGTAAGGGCGCGTGTGACGCAGTGGTTGGAGGTCCCTGCAATACACACGTGGAATCGATTTTGCGCCCATGGCCCACCAAGTCTTCCATCCCTTCAGGGTCGGCAAATTGGTACTAGACTTGTCCGGGAGGATAGCAGCACTGGTTCGATATATCGGCAGACCACCGCGAGTCATTGTGGAGACCAGACATGCATTTTATCACCTCCAAATGATGCTTAATGAAGTCGAATGCATGGCGCATCCCTCAGGGATTGATCAACGCGGAGAGCTTTATCCTTTATCCTTTTATGTACATTGCACGGATTCCCTAGAAAAGTTTCATAAGTTTTAATCAGTGGGTTTGATAAAGCTGTAACCAGCAAATATGCTGCATTATGAAACCACTGACTCTACTCATCACTTTGTAGAAGAGCGAAGTCATTGAGCTACGGGAAAATCACCTCCGATACATCACGTTAAAGAGTCGGCCACTATAACTAATGATTTAATGCTTAAGAAATGTTCCGTTAGCAAAGAAGGAAATACCTGGCTATCGCTTCTTCACTTCTCTGATTCCATTGATGAGTTCTTACACGCACTTTACTACATTTGGAACTCATCACTCATCAGTCATCCTCAGTATGATGTCCGCTTTGAATTTTAAGCTACGGATTTACATTTCCATGTACGCATGGTATATGTGTGCGAATCGTTGGTTACAACAGAGAAACTACGTCTCTACAAAGTGCAGGCTGACAATCGAAGCCGAATAAAAGTCTCATCTACGTTTTCATCTGTCTCTCCGTCCTTCGTTATCATCGTTTTTTTTTCTCTCGTCTCATTTTCATGTCTACGGAAACCAGTTTCTGTTTTCCGTTGACAGCAACGTGTATGTGACGTTTCCGTTTTCTTTCCCTTTTTTTGCTCAACGATCGAGATAATTTACGAACACCACAACGTCTATTGTAATAGTACACTGGCTAGACCGTTTAACTATACATGAAACGGCTTTCATGAACGTCGGTCTCGCAGCGAAAACTAATCGATGATCGTACAATAGGAATCATTTCCAGTTTGAATGCGTATTTCATCATTATTCAGTGACGCTAGTGGTGTGCAATAACTCAGAATGAGTGTCACATGGCCGTCTATGTTTACAATAGCATAGAGGTCGGGTCCAATTTCACATATACAATCATCTGACCACCGTCAAGGTGTCGATTCGCTTACGATGGTTTTACAGCAAATTCACTCCCACTCGTGTTCATTTAGATTGTTTTAACTCACTCTTTCATGGCATAAGTCAATTAGGGTTTACAGCGTTGATGATCTTTATTGATTTTTAGCAGCGATTTTCGTTCACTCTTAGCACGGATAATCAATATCTTGGTTTTATCGGTAAGATCACACTAGTTTGTTAAAAATCTTAATTGTGGTTAAAGTTACGGCGCTATCGCATTGTGTCGAATCGAATAAGGTGAAGCACCGCATGAATGAAATAGCATCAACGAGGACTGCTCCATTGTAGAGCTTGGTTCTTCCCGCGCTTGGATGACATGATCTCACACAGCAGTTGTCCAGGATACAGGACCATTAAGTACAAAAGCGCAGCACTAGGTTGCGCTATTTCATTTGTGTAGTGTACAACTGTACTTGAATCGATGCCACCACGAAGATTTACATCGCAAAGAAGAACTATTGTGGACATTCAACTTAATCATCTCGTCTCTGAGGAAGGGGATACCGAAAGTTGATCAAATTCACCGTCATCGCGTGCTCTGC